TCTCCAATTCTTTTCTCTGCTCCCCCCCCCCCCCCCAACATCAAAATAGAGCCTACTAATTCCTCTATTTTCAGTGTTGCTACCTCTGATTTTCTCCGGTTTTACCACCACTGCCACCCGCCTCGTAGCCTTCTACCACCTCCTCCCATTCTGCTGTTTTTTCCACTTCTCTTCCCCACATCAAAAAAAAAAAAAAAATTCTTAAGCATTGTTTAAAGGACAAAAGATATAAAATTATGATTAAAATACCTTTTTTAAAATCTAAAAATTAATCAGTTTGCTGTGGTTGTCTAATTATTAAGAGCAGCCATGAAAGCTAAAATAAAGTTTTTAAATCTGGAACTAAAATATTGATGCAGTGGACCAAACTATATATGGAAATTGCATTTTGTATTGTACTCTAAGTAGACAACTCAGCTGTAGCTAGAGTATCTGCAGCTTCTCAAGTGTCAAGTCACAGTCAACAACTTATATGCTTCAATCTCTATAGTTACCAATACTTAGTGGAATATAATTATAGCTCTTATAATTTGGATACTAGCTAGCATGCATATCCATTTCCCTCTATCTACAACTTGTATATCTCATGCAGATGCTTTTTAAAATATAAATGAAAAACTTTTTAATACTAAACAGTGCAAGTATATTTAAAATGCTTGCAGTTTAATCATGGCAATACAAGAGAAAATAAAATGTAAAACTTATTTCAATAAAACATGCTTACACAAATATCCAGGCAAGATAATTTTGCTTGCCAATCATAATTTATTGTAGAATCAGTTAAATTGGCTTTGATTTATATCACCAGGTTTGTGTTCTTGTACTGAGCTACTTATATAGTGTCATTTCTGAAAAAAAGCTATTTTTAAATAAAAGGGACATTGAATATCCATAGTTCATATTGATTTCAAGGTGCAGACACACAGGCATGATTATTAGGGAGTAATATGCCCCATATTTTACTCTGTAGTAAATTTACTCTATACAACTGGCTCTCCAAAGCTAGTCACGAGCATTAGAAAGCACTTTTACAGCTCCTGGCCACTAGGGCTAAGTACAGACATTCAAAAAGCCCAAGGTAGAAGTGCTCTGACTATTGTGATTTTACTTACCGTGGTCTAAGTTAGAGCAGGAGTGACCTGAACAGATGTTTGCCATTTGGTAGGGGAAACTCAGAGCCTGCCTACACTGGCCAAAGTCAGCAGGTAGAGGGTACTCTCCATGCCTCCCAGCATGTCCTGTGGGCTCCCTGGACTACTAAAGACTCCTGAGTCAGAGTGTAATGAGCAAGCCCCCACCCCGATTGACTGCTGGGTATAGTCCACCATGTTCTCAATCCCCTGCCATGTCACTGCACCTTTTACATGTGTTTTTAGAGTACCTACGTGTGAGTGCTTGCTTTCTCTCTCTGCACGTATGTAATTAAGTTAAATTTAGGCTCAAAATGTGCGTGTATGGGCTAGTAAACCTCACAGTGTTGTTATCAGTACACTTCTGCTTGAAGATGTGCAAATGCATGTAGATTATAACAACAGTGGACCCCTCTCCAGGTTTGATTTTCTGATATTTGCGTGTCATCCATACAGTACAAGAGAAGTTGTTATAGTAACAAATAAAAATCAGAGAAATTCTTTGAAAAACTGTTTAGCGGTGATATAATGAAATTGTTGAACACATTTACCAAAATACAGAGGAAAGCAGATGCTCTTGAAGAGTTAAAGAATCATTGTGAGTTCTGGGAAGCGTGGAAACATTTTGATTGTCACTATGCTGCTGATGAAGGAAGTGAATACTAGGATATAGTCTCAAGTGTTTTTTTTCTGTTTAAGAATTATCATATAAAAACAGAATTCAAAATTCAATTTGAAAATAGCACAACGCTGAGATTTAAAGACACATCTAAGATATATAATAAACTTTAATTAATTGTGTTTCTTTTAAAAATACAATGTGTGAGAGACTATGTTCTTTGATTACTAAGGAAGTGCTAAAAGGTCCCAGTGATGGATCAGGCCCCGTAGTGCTAAGTACTAGAAAAACTTATGGTAACTAGCTGTATTCAAGAAATAAAGAATTTCCTAAGAGAGCATTAATTTATTTTCAAGTGATAACCTTTCATTACTTATTTATTCTGTAAGTCTGCTGGAAGAATATCTGGAAAGAAACGCTAAGCTGAATCTCTTAAATATGTATATGTAAAATATAAAACTTGTTTATTAACCAATTAAAAATTAAAAAAAAAAAATTCAAAAAAACATTTTATCTTAATGTTATTCTAAACACTGAACTTCAGTTTGTCTTTTAGAGGACAAAAGCTTCTGTACATCTTACAATATTCTACGTAATCGTGTTTACATATTTTAAGAAAGATGAAATAGCCCAACCTCAGCTAACAAAGCTACTGAATACAAATGAACATATGATATTTCAGTAGCTCATAAGATTTTCAAGAACAGTCTCTTTTTTTTCAGTGCAAGGACTATGCTATATAATACATGTTTTCAGCCCTAGGCCTTTAAATAACAGCTTGTTCTTGGTTTTTAAATTATCAATGAATCAAAGAAACTTGAAAATTGCTATCTTAAGAAAGCAGGAAAATACAGTGGTCTGTATTTAGCCCTTAATTGATCTTTCAGTTTTGAAATCACTAAATTTTTAATGGTTGCATTACTTAAGTGTCTAGTGTTGTAGCTGTAACAGGTATCTGCTCTGGGCCGAGCTAAACGTGGCCCGTACACCTGTTCCTGGGGCAGCCGCCTGCCTTCTCACCTGCCATGCCTTGCTGTCAATTAATTGATGTTAATTAGCGAGAGGCTGCCCTTGTACTGCCCCGCTGCCAGGGGGTGCTATTTGCAGCTCCGTTTCCTCCCCTACACCACAGTCCACACCTCGCTGATGGAATAGCCGTTATGTCTCAGCCCCATCAGAATCTGGCCCCTCTTTGTCCTCTCCGGGCCTTCCTTCCTTTGATACATGCCCTCCCTGGCGCTAGGGCTCTCCCCGGCCTTCTCCATAACGCTGCCCCTGCTCTGGGGCCTTCTCAACTGCTGCTCTCTGGGGCTGGGGTCTATGCACCCCGAATGCTGCGCCCTCACTGGCACTGGGGTCCTCACACTCTGCTGCGAGTCCCCTATGAGGCCTCCTCCAACCCCTAATAGCCTCACCCAAACCACCGGTTATAGACAGCAACACAAAATGCAGGCCTATTGGCTATAACTTAAACAGAAGCCACCCGGCCATAACAACGCTCAAGCCTACTGAGAAATACTCCATCCCTTACATGAGAGAGCTTCTTCCTCCATGGTTGCTGGCAGGGAACTGCCTCTGGCCTCAGCTCCTTGGGTTTATAAGGGAGCCAGGCCCTGCCCCTTCTGGTCAGCTGACCTTCTCTGGTTACCCTGGCAACCCACAGCTGGGCTCTTTTTTTCCCTGCTAGGGCTTCCTCCCTAGCAGTTTCCCCTCTTTGGGAGCAGGGCACCTCAGTGCTCTGTGACAGTAGCATAACAGAGATACCAAACAGATTAATGCATCTAGTCCTGGTGAAGAGGCCTATTGATATCCTGGTACCTTTTAAATTTCAATTAGATAATAATTTAGCAACTTTGATCCTGATCCCACAATAAAGACGTTAAGTCCCAACCTAAAGACTATTTTGCAGGTATACTAGAAAAAAAAATTTTCTTCAGTTTTAAAAGCATACCAA